CAACTTTAGTGGAACATCAAGAATGACATGATTCCAAAAATAGTCACAGAGTTGCATATACGAAAACTGTTTTATTTGCAATCGCGGAAGTAATATGCAGTTAAGATATGCTAAATGATTGACAAGCAGAAAATTGTCCAAATAAACTAACTGTGAAAAAAGTTTTGAAAAGTAGTAAATTAATTAATCAGAGAAAAGACAGAGGCAGAGGCAGAGGCAGAGGCAGAGGCAGAGGCTAGGGAATTTCCAACAGAGAAATGCTGTTTGGTGAGTAAAGTGTATTTACAAACTGAAACTTGAGTTGCGATCAAAGAAAACAACAACAAATAACAGTACTAATTAAAAATATAACCGAAACGATTTGCTGCTCAGCAATTCTCAAACTTACAAACACACGAACAGAGCAGTGAATGCAGCTGTAATTGCAATCGAATTGAATAAATAAAGCCAGTATACAACAATGGGGTCGACTGGGAAAAGCAGGCAGAAGAAAAACGGAAAATTAAAATTAAAAAATGAATAAATTAAAAATAAATTCGCCAACAAGAAGAATGTTGGGGACAACAAAAGAACGTGGCGCGACATTTGGTCTCGCCGCATGTACAGCCAGTTGTTTACCAAGCCACAAGGCACCAGCACAACAAAAAACAAAAGTGCACAAGAAAATGAGAAACCGAAAAGTACAACCACATATCAATTAACGCTTTTGAACGCCTGGCAATTGTTGTCGCACAAATGGTTACTGATGTCAACTGCCGCTTGTCGGTTGTCGGTTGTCTGTTGGCGGGCGGTGGTTAGCAGTTTCAGCATATTCTTTGCTTTGGCGACTCCTCGGAGGCATTCCAGCTTGATGAAAGGCTGTGCAGTGTGCGTGGCTACATACATACAAGGTACATTTGTGCTGAAAGGGTGCGTCAAATTGCTGCCAGTAAATGTCATGCCCCACTCATTCCCCTCCTCATTCGCACACAAACACACATACATACAGGCACATATGTATACACGCGTGCACATTTTCGATGTTTGATTTCCACTCTCAGTTGGCCATTTTACTGCTAAATGCTTTTGGGAATTGGGCATAGCACCGACAGCCATTTTTCACTTTCGACTTTCGCCTCCCACGCCTTCCGTTGCCGCCTGTCCAAGCAACAAGCTGCATACAAACATACACATGTCTAAAATAGTATTGTAAAGCAATTCCGATGAGATTAATTTGCTTCCAAAGTAGACTTTGCTGTTCGTACAAATAATATTCAGCGACATTTACGACAAATATTTTCAGGAAATCTTAAACTGAGAAGATATGCCCCTATTTAGTAAAACTTCTGATGCAGGACGCCATGATGATTGAAGAAACCAATGAGCAAAACTTTGATCGCGATCGATTTCGACGAGCTTTTACGTTCTTGGCCGTCCTGAGCATTTCTATTGAAAAGATTGGGTTTTGGTTTCGATGTCAAAGCCTTTATTCGCCACTAGTAAAGGCCCATTTTATGCTAACACTTGCCGAAGAGTCGGCTTGGCGACATCCTCAGCAACTTCTCTTATAGTGATTCGACCATCATTGACAACTTTAATTTACCTAGAGGGTCACAATTAACTTCGCAACTGTACTTCGTCTATATGACCCAAATTGGGCAGCTTTGACATCAAACTCAGATCTGAAGTAGTCGATGATCATCAAAGTACAAGGTATGATTTCCCTTTTCTAAATTGGATACCAACTTCCTTTCTGGTACTACAAAATCAATCCATTTTCCTGCCAGACTTATTTATTTTGTTCTTATTTTTTATTTGCTCTTTTTGCTTCCCAATAATAAATATAATGTAATAATTTAAAGCAATATGTCTAAGAATTTATTAACTCTAACCACTCGCATGCCCACCCATAAACTCAGTTCCACATCATTTGTTATGCTTACATAGGAGCCACTTGAAAGGGGAAAAAGAACCAACAACAGCCGAGAGTAAGAACACAGCACGAGCTTTATGACAGTTCATTTAAGGGTATTTGATAACCGCCCTGAGCAATAAACAACATGTCAAACACCTTTGACATTCAAACCTGAGTACGATTCTCTCGTGTTTGGCGCTTTTGCAATTCCATTGCGAATAAAAAAATATTTGTGTAGAGGACGTTCAGCGACATTTACCGCTTCCGCATTGCTGTCTGCTTGTCATAAGAAACAAGCGGAACGATGAATATTTAATATATATAGTATATGTACATATATAGCAGCAGCATTAGTGGTGGTTTTAGTTGTAGCAGCAATAGAGGTGGTGAGTGAGAAGTATCAGAATTTGGAGGAAAAACTCGCATCACCACGCAGATAAATTGCAGCAGAGGCAACAACGAAGGCAGCAGAAGCATTAACATAACATTAACATTAAACCCGACGACGTCATGATAAGCACGACAGCGACCTTTAAGGCCAACGCACAGCCGAAAGACAGCCGAAATATGCTCAGCAGTGCCGCTAAGCAACATTTCGCTTTATTAGAGCTCATCAATCATGGCACGCTCGCTTGGTTGACTACTCTTGCATGTACGGATTATGTATGTATTAATAATCAAAGAAATATATACAATAGGAGGCTGCAACAGTCTTGCCTATATTTATACAGCAGACTTAATTCTAAAATTAGTTTTCGATTGATTTTCTTTAGTTCTACAGTTCATCTACTCGATTTCTCATTTGATATGTGTGAATGAAGTTTGTATGTACTTGTTTATGCCACATAAAGTCGAAAGTGGCCTTCACACGATCAATTTGACAAATTGCTTTGTAAACGGCGTTCGGCGCAACCCGCTGTTGCCGTTCCACATACGCCCCGGCATCCACGGCCTGCCACTTCTTTGCTATTTCTGTAAATTTCACCTTGCAATGACGACAAGTGGTTGCGCCACATTTGTACAACTTTTCAACACATCAATTGGCATAAGAGTCGTAACAACAACAATAGTGGAGAAAATTATATAATATGAAAATGAGAGCGTCAGCTACTAGTTGATAGATATGTATATACGTGTATGTACGTATGCATGGCGGAATAGTGAAAAATTATTTTAACGACAGTGCTAATTCGCATTTATTGGCCTTTCAATTTGTCAAACGCAGTGTGGGGAAAGCTATTGTATTATTATTTTTCTTCTTTTGAAAGTGAAATATTTTCTTGTTTGCAATTATTTCTACCAACGCCACATTTCTATTTTGTGTTTATTCACACAGTTGAACTACACTTGCTTCTCCATGAACTTGTCGCGAAAAATATACTTTTGAACAGTAAATAAATAAAAATATTCTGTTTGTCTAAGAAATAATACAAAAGAACGAAGGTGGCAAAAAAATATTGCTTCCTTACTCCTTACTTTCTAGTTATATGTAAATAGTTCTCGTTTTATTTTTTCCACTTTCTTTCTGGATATTGTCGTCAAAGTATTTTTGCGCGAAATTTTCTGCAAAGCCAATTAACGTTCTTCGCTCTCTATTAATCACCATTTCCTGCCTGCCCTGGCACAATCGCGAAAAATAGGGATCAATAAACTTTTGGAAATTTCTCGTTGACCATCGATTGGATGATACATCGGTTGCAGTTGCTCCAAGTTAGGTACTTATGCACATACACAAGTACATATATATTATTGACGACGCTTTTATCAATGACGTGAAGTTATGGAATTGGGAAGAACATCAAAATAAGAGACGCCAATAAATAAAACTCGAAACACTTCTATTAATAAAGTGTTTATTTTTGAATTCCAGTTGATATTTTTGCATATTGAAGCCCCTACCTCCACCAGATGGCATTATATTGATCTCATATGCCGATCACTGCTGGATATTGGTATCTGACCATGATATTGACAACTTACATACCAAAGTAAACTGCTGATGTGAAGCAATATCAGCTATGATACTATTTTTGGGAACATTCCAACAGACATTTACTTGAGGCTGAACCTCCACCTAGGCATACCAGGAAGAAAGTACCAGACTATACAGACTCCATTGCCCCATAAACCAGAACTGAGACACAGGATGGCGTATCGACATACCGAATGTATGTATATCCTGCTTAACGTGAGGCACCGCTAAATGTCGGTGAAAACTTTTCAAGGCTTTCTATATACCTCGATACTTAACCGATTTTCATAAGAGTGGTACCCCTGGACAGGTAATTAATATACCTTTAATTGAGTGTCCATATATATGCATGCTTATCTCAGATTTTTTAACAAAAATAGAAAAGTTAGAAAAAATTAAATTTTCTTTAAAAAAAGTGCCGTATTAACCCTATTTAAAATCAGATAAATAAATATAAACTGTAATAAAGTTTGTTATTAAAAAATAATATTTTTTTGAAATTCCTGATTTTGTTTAAAACTTTTAAACATATATATTTAGACATTTCAAAAATTTTGAATTCCCCCTTTTTCCACCCCTAGCGCCCATAATATTCAATTGCCCTAGAAATGTTGTATACCCTTGAAATCACTTAATTACTCCTAACAACCCGCACTATTTATTTTTTCCGTGGGCGAGTTGTCAGTATCCTGCAATTGTACAGACATCAAGGTTGGTTTTTCTGGCACTAGCTTGTTTTTTTATATGAGACACTCTATATACCTTTTTAATTTCATATTTCACCCTGTTCGAATAAGTGAAATTTTACGCCTGAAAATATGCAAGTAAAGTGGTTAACTGCTACTACAGCGAATGTTAAGCTTTCCAATGCCAATTAACATTCTGTTATTCGCCGTTTTTCACAGCGTCGTTTTTCCGTCGCCGAGTTTCCTAAACCGTTAATAATTCGCCTCTCTTTCTCCGCCTTGCTGCTATCATTGGCAGGAAAATCAGCTGTTCCAAAACATATGTTTGAAATCGCGTTGTCACTGCCACTTCTACAGCGAATGTGAGGTGAATGCACTGGCACAAATTTTGAAATGTTGTAGCAACCTTTGAAATTTCCTTAAAATCTTCAGATTTTTTAACATTTCAAATTCAGTTGAAAATTTTTTACGCACGCAGATACATGCAATAAAAATTCGAATTTCAGTTTTTTCTCTCCGTACCCATAAAGTATTCTTCCACAAAAATAAACGTAACGCGCCGCTACCATAAAAAGTATCTTTCACAGCTCGTTACACGCTGTAATCTACCCAGCAAACGTGCGTAAAAATTGCATTCGTTCTCGTATTTGTGATCACACATATTGCTCCACAAGCCAAGCAAATTGCCCTTAAGTGTTGCTAAAAGTCTCAAAACCTCGTCGAGAAAATGAACTCTGAAAACGTCACCGAATTGAAGAAGCCTGTGCAGGCGGAAGTTGAGGAGAAGCCGAAGGTGGCGCAGGCAGAAATGCCGAAAACTCCGTCGTTGCCCGTGAGCAGCCTCATTGGCTTCAACACCGAGGACTTCTTGGCGCGTGTAAATATGAACGAGAAGATCAATAATATTTTACGCTCGCCTACGAAGACACCAAATGGTGTGCGTCAACGCTCTGTTTTCACCGCTATAACGCCATCATCGGTGAGTGTCCAGCAGCTTCCTAAAAAAAAGATGACTTTGTGGCACTTGAAATGCAGCTGCTCGAGAAAAAGGAAAAAAGTTTGGTTGTCATTGAGTTGTCAATTGTTAGTTCGACTAATTTGACATTTTCTGTCAGCTGATTGTCAAAATGAACATTTCGAACATAGACTATTTCTCTTACAAATTTTTCTCTTTTTAAAAATTAAAATAATATTCTCTTGAATAACCCTTTTATAAATTTTATGTTCAATGCTGCCCACAACAGTCACGCTTCAATGCCAGCGCTGCACCTTTCGTCTCGCAGCAACAACGTGCTTCGATCACTGCCACCAACCCTGGTCCGATGAGTGGTGGCGTTATGACGCCCAAGGAGACTTCAACACCATCGGCTGCACTTCAGGCCCGTCAAATGCCCATTCCCGTGCACATGAGCGCCGCCTCACCACATCACTATGGTAGCTATGAGACGCCGCTTACTGGACGAAGCGGTGGCATGACGAGAGGTGTTTTCAATGCTCGTTATCCTGTGGCACCGCCTCCATCACCAATCTATGGCTTTGAAAATGACATGTGTCGGATGGTAAGTTATACGAAAATTAGTTAAATTTGAGCCCTGAGGCTTTTGAGTTTATAAGCATATTTTTTCCTAAAGTTTTAAGCGAATCGGAAAGACCATTCAATTTGTTCGGATGTTGTCACAAATACTCTCCTTTTCTCCCCCATGTAGCCCCCAACTATGTCGCCCTCTCATCACGCTCAACAATTTCCTCAACCCATGCCCCCACCACCATATGCAGTGGGTCGGTTGAGCGGCAGTCATCGTGGTGTTGAGTACGAGAATCCAACACCACCCCCTTGCCCCGGGGCCGGACCAATAGCAATGACTAATGGCACTATACAGCTGCGCCTGCGCGATGGAATACGGTAAGATAGCACATACATACACACTTTTTAATTTATTAAAGGATTTTCTTATATTTCTGTACATTTTCTACTAATTTAAATACTTCTTTAATCCGCCTCGTCAGCATCGACATGACTTTGGATAAGGCAGTGCGCGTTCTCAATCAACGCAGCATGGTAGCTATTGCCTTGTCACGCAACTGCAGCAACTCAGCGTTGATTCATCCAAATGGACGCATACTACAAAGTGGCTCTAAGGTGGAGATTGTGACTTACGACGGCATGAAAACCAATAATTTTGTGTATGTCTAACAAAGACGAACAAGACTTATTTAAAAAAAGCTCAATAAAGATTTTCTCTGCTTTCTTCTCTCGCTCAGTCGGTATGCCAAAATGTGGTACAAAGGGGTCAGTTTCACTAGCGAATCTTGCGCTTTGATCTATCTCGTAGACACGGCTGGTACACGCACTACCACCGATACCTTTACCGATCTCACGAAGGACTACACACTGACGGTATTTTATGAGTGCGTGAGCTAGAAAACAACTAAATCTTCTGATTACCGTTATAAATGTTTAATTACATTTTTGTATTATAGTGATTCACGTCACGGTCCATCTTATGTTCAGGATGCTAATGAGGTCATACAGAATTCGACGTATTCTTGCACCGATGAGGGCACCGAAATCTATGAAATTAACGGTTTCCGCATCACTCAAGCGGCAGATGGACTTGTGAAGTAAAGTGAAAATATTTTCAGAATCTTCTATAATCAGCGTCTCACTAACGAATTCTGTTTATTTGCACACGGCTTGCAGATTAACTCGCACCCATAACAAATGTTTGATCCGCACTAGCCCAGGCAATGGTTCGGCCACTCTGACCACACCGGGTATTCATTGCACGGCTTCGTTGAGCAAAACGTCGCATTTGTTTGTTCGGTAAGCGTTCGGGCGGCTCGAGATGTTTTATAAAACATCCCTTGGAATGCTTTTGGTCTCCTTCGGCAGTATAGAGCTACGATGGAAGGCGTTTGAGAGATACAATAATTCAACCATTTTTCTCTTATGTTAATTTATTATATCTTTCTTTCAGTCGAAATGAGAAACGTATGCACTTCGATGGTTCCTGTTTCATAGTACGCAATGCAGGCCACTCGGCTGGGTTCAACGAGAACAATTTGTTGATCGTCTACTAAGAGCGGAAACCTCTTCAACTACGCATTTGAGCGCATTTTGCAAAAAAAAAATATGAATTACAACTGCCAAGCTACGAACAAAAATAACAAAGAAGAACGCAAGTGCACAATAATTTCAACAACAAAACACCTTAGTCTCAGAGTAGGCTGTCCTGAGAGCGCATAAAAGAGAATTCACATTGCAAAATACGAAGTAAAGGGAATTATAAAGAGAACAAACAACAGAAGGAGGGAAAGAGAAGAAAGAAGTTCAATTAACAAAGAATAGTACAAAAGTGGAGCGCTTAGAAAATTATAGAAAGTTTTTATGAAAAAAGTTGTTTATAGAAAATTCAAGCCGGAAGCGCTCCCGAATAGTCAACAAAAATCAGTTTATACCAGTACACACTTTATTAATATATAGATTAGAGTTCAAAACAAAAACTTCATTAGAAATACGTAGGTTTTTGAAAATCACAAATTCAAGTTAGCTTTTTTTCAACTTCTCATTCAACCTAATTTTAAATCAGCGTGCGCCTCGGCTAGGCGTGAAGGTCTTGTTAGTCTGTATGCGATCAAAAATACACTTTCTACTTAGCCGAGAAAGATCAAATTTTCAACTCTTAAACCTTAAGGCACGTCTACACGTTCTATGTGTATGCTAATAGCTATATCGGCCGAACGATAAGCACGCAAATATTTTTATTTTATTTGTTCAAGCAACCTGCAATAATCGATCTATGCTACTATTAACACCTTTAAATAATTATTTTGAGTCCTGCAAGGACCTTCATCACCTATTTGTATACTTCAACTAAATTTTAGTTTCGAAAGTGCGACAACAAATTTTCAGTCAATTTTTTTTAAGTTAGCGCAAGCATTGATAATGATAAAACAGCAAAAAAGTTTTCAACCTTTTTATGTAAAAAATTTACTATACCAAAGAAATTAGCTAAAAAGTTCAAAACTTACTTAAAAACGAAACAAAAAATACAAAAATATAATAACTGTTTCCCTAGCTAAAAAATCTTTCTAATCATCAAACTTCCACAAGTCTTAATATCTTTAACTTTAACTTCAATTTCCACTTTCAACAAAAAAATCAACTATGTAAACTAAAAATCTAATTGAAAAGCAGAAAGCCAAAAAGGAAAAAAGGATAACTTGCCGTCTAGACTATTGTGTGCATGCAATGTGAGTGGTAAGGGAAAGTTATCCCGTTCAGCACGTCCGGTGGATACAAAAGTGTCACAGTAGCAGAGTTTTTAAGTGTTCTGTCGAGTAATGCAGTGAGCGGCAGAATGGGAAAGTAAAGAACAGTAAGTACTGTACTGTAGGGGAAAGATAGAAAGGAACGATATAAAATGCTAAACTAAATTAGGCTACGAACACAGATACTTTGCATACTTTACACACATACGTGTACATATGTATACAGTGTAAGATAGCGTAAAATGGCGGAAGTGAGACGACAAGCAACCGCAATCTAGAGAGAAAGGCGAGACCAGAATCAATCGATTTGAGATCACAGAAACAGAGATTTCAAATGAAAAAAATGATCGTAGGTTGCAAAATGTTCAAAAGTGTCGTACGTTTCTTAAGTTTTCTCTAATAATAATACTACATAATACATGTCATACACACACATACACCTATACATATATATAAATATAGACTGCTTTAAATTTAGCATAATTTAATAATAATAATAATAATTCATTTTATAAATGTTAGTTGCATCGTTAGTTCCTAATTAATATATGGTACCACTTTCCGATTATGTAATAGATACAAATTATTTCGGCAAAATGTGAAACAAAATTTTATAGTCGAATAAAAATTTTAGTGTATTCTGCAATTTTATTTGGATCGGTGGTAGTCTTTTGTTGATCAACAACATTTGCAGTTCATTTTTACATTTGAAATATAAACAACAGAGGCTAATAATAATAAGCTTCTGCATTTCACTTTTAATTGGAATTCACCCGGGGCCCCGAGTTTCTTGTCAGAAAAGATAATTTGAAAAGGCCACAGGTGTGCCAAGAGCTGTTTAATGATTCATTTTAGTGTTTGTCTAGAGATGGTTTACTTTATAAATTTGAATAACTCGCATAATATTAACAGCACACAAAATGGGGACTAATTGCGTCACACAGATGAAATTTTCAATTCAAACCAAGTTGGTTTCTTCTTTATTGGCACAGGCACCGCTTACGAGTGTGCCATTCCTTTTTTCTATTCGCTGTTGGGCGCCCACCGGTAATACCAAGTGCAACCAGGTCCTTCTCTATTTGGTCTTTCCAACGGAGTGGAGGATTTCATCTTCCCTTGCTTCCACCGGCGTGTACTGCATAGGAAACTTGTAAAGTTGGAGTATTTTTGTCCCAGTGTAGTCGCTGTCTTCTCATCCGTTGAACTATCCCAATGTTGCGTTTATCTCATAAAGCTCGCTGTTCTCTCAAAAAGTTTAATTAAGTTCCCATCCTCACTTCTACCAATGCATGCATTTATTTGGATTAAACTCAATTGAATATCATAAAAGTATCTTACTGATTGTAAGATCACATGGCCTCGCTACCACCAGCACATTTCATTCACATTCATCCTTCTTGCTTGCGTCGCTGACTTACTGTTAACAGCAACTTTGGGTCATCAACCAAACGTTAACTTGTTGACGCTAAAATGAAAGTCGTCCAAGCGACACGCACTCCCACCATAGTGCATGCATACGTCAGTAGGTCCATTCCATGCGCCGGCCAGTAGTCTATTAGCTGTGCCTTAATCATGTTCTCTTTACTCTAGTCAGTTCGTCACAGTTGCATGCAACAGTACTGACCAGCTGCACATTGTGCACGTAAAGCCACGGAATACTTTGACTTTGCCTTGAGCGTGGTTTGTTGTTAAAAATTTTCTTTTCTTTTTTGAATTTTTCCTCTCTATTTCCTACTTTATTACTGCAGGATGTGAGACTTTTCCACCTGAGAAGCTAAGTAATTCAGTGACTTTGTTGGCCACTCAGTCGACTGCAGTAACAGTGTGGCGTGTCATCAGGATATCAACAGTGCGTAAAACAACAATAAAAGTTTATATCTTCTAAAACTTAAACTTTTACCCTTTTTATGCGCTTTTGCAATGTCTTCGCTCTTAGTCTCAGGTAACTTCAGCAGCTATCTGAAGTCTAGAGAAGCAGAGTGGTTTCACTCTTCACGCACAGTGCAACCCTCAATAAAACACTAACTCACTTTTTAGATATATATTGTCATTGTATTTAAGATTAAAAAATTCGAAAACAAGTAACCGAAATTCAGAAAAAAGGCAACTACAAATCAGATAGCATAACTCAACTCAATAGTATACATTCATAATTATGAACGAAAAGGAATTTAGCACGGTAGACTCGACGGCCCGCGACTGCTTGGATATTAATGCGAGACCACAAATAATTTGCATATTCAGTCAAAGCCGAACAACTGACAAAGACTGTTTTATTGGATCGGCATCAATCATCATAGGAAAAGCGATTGGAAGATTTTTAAACGAAAGGATCAGTTAAAGCAGAAACTGCGTTATCCACACATTTGTTGAGTGGTTAGCATTACCTACTACCACGCAAAAGGTCATGGGTTCGAATCCGAGCCGAACCAATATCAAAGAATTACGATAATTGCGGTCACCCGTCGCCGAAGATACTCAATCCCTCCGAGTGTATTACTGCTCATAAAAATTCGGCAACATCGAATCGGACGACTCAAACTGAAGTTCTACTAACTCAATAAAAATATATCGCTGTAATATACGAGTATTGCCTACCTGATGGGAATTGCATTAGAAGAAAATCGTAATATTTTTTGTATGAATGTCCGTATTAAGTTTGCCTAGAGGTTTGCAATGCGCGAGTGGACCAATCCCATAATTTAGAGCGCAGCGTCTCTCGAACTTAAGCACGTTGGTTTAAGGAAAATGGAGGAATAAATGTATAAATAGATCCATTTGGTACATTCATATACCCTCGTACATGCATATGGGATGCATTTCAATAAAATTGTTTGCTATTAAGTTTGGTAGAATGCTTGGCACTACCAGAGCCAACCAAAACTCATATTATAAATGACAAATGCGCCACGTGGCTAACTCTTCATTATTGCCACATTTGCATATTTATGCTGTGTTAAAATTATTGCACAGAATGGCAAAAGAGAAAAAAACCAGTTTCCGCTTGAGAATCCCTATTCTATTTAACGATTACTTCATCAGTTTGCTTACTTTACACCAATTCATTTGAGATTTTCCTAAACTGCTTGCATGAGTCGCATAAATTTTCCCATTGAACACAAAACTCCTCAATGGACTTAAAAAGCTGGGCTCGATCTATTTACGTACTTCGCCTTTGCTTTGCTATTTTATTTATTATATTTTTGCATAAAAGGCTAAATTAAGAGACCCAAAACTTTGCTTAACTTGCAAAACGCCCACTTACAAATAAACACACACACACATGCAAACGTTGTCAAAGGCGCAATTAACCCAACGATTATTTGTAAACGAATAATCGCCATTCGCTGAGTCAAATAAATAATCGCCTGGAAAATGGCTGGGGGGATAGAGCAGCTCCATTCAGAGGTTAATTGCTCAGCTGTGTATGCACATACACATACATATGTATTGAGCAATAGCTGTATGGCACAGTGATTTATAGCCAAGGACATTTGGAAGCCTTAACCGATGTGTCTTTCTTTCCCTTGCTCACCATATACACATAGTTGTGCCTTTGCTTATACATAGTCTAACTTGTCACCACTATTATGTAAATATGTGTGTGTGTACATATGCATGCAGCTATATTGGTTGCTCGTAAATTTCTACTTGACTGTTTATAATAAATTTTTATTTAATTTTATGCCCAATTAAGTGTAAATAAATCCTTTGATGTCCATAACAAGCTGCCAGAGGTATTATGCTTGGCGTATACACCCACCGACATACACACTTGTCCGCATACTTACTCACTAACATAACAGATATGCACCTGAATTGACATTTTATGGCAAAGGATCTATTTTTGAAGGTCCACAGCATTCCTACACACACATACATAAAGCATTTATATTTGGA